TGTACTAACTCAAAATCACGACACTTTCAATGAGATCATATTAATGGCATTTTGTAACATTCAAATATAAAATATAATCATTTTTTTAAAGTTTATTAATATTGCCATATTATCAAGGCATTGGAGCAATAATGCGCATTGGCCACTTAAATGTAATAATTTACCGTTTTACTTAAGTAACCGATGCAGTGGCAGCATTCAAGAGGAAAATGGGCACGCGCATCGTACAATCGTTTCACCGATAATATTAAAAGCACAACTGCAGAAATTCCAATAAATTCTCAATTCTAAACGAGGTACGTGCAGTGATTTTTCTAAAGTGATATCACTTATGAATAAGTCGAACGCGCAACGGGAGCTAAATCATCTACTCTCACACTCTGTCGCCGCATACAATTTGAAAAATCATTTTTCCTCCTTCGTAAAATACCAATATGTTAAGATTTCATGTAAACTGCTTGAAATTTGCACTTTTTTCACATTTCATTCGTCTTTTGTGACTGTGATGAAGATGTTTTACATTCAAAGCAGCCATACGCCATCAATACACACAAGACGTGCAACACGCAATTAGTATTCCTCACAAAATTTTTATTACGGTTTGTGAGTGGCAAAAAATCGACGATGGGAAAATGTACCAGAACGTCGTCAGCTGAATACAGTTCAATGAGTGCGAATGAAATGGAACAAGTGGTTTTCGTTGTTCGCATGTTGATAGATGTGCAAATGTGGTGTACATATTTACGACGACGAATATGGTCGAAGCAAGGACGTAATTGAACCATTTTCGGATGTTTTTTTCTCTTTCTCTTTCTCTCTCTCTCCGCCTCTCTTCGATTGTCGTGTATCATTATTATTTATAATGCATTGTACACGTTCATTGCACTAGTTATTGCCTGACGCCAGATGTATGTTTCCTTTTTTGCAGTGCATCGTAAAGATATTGCCGAACGATCTATAGAAACGAAGTGCGCACAAACACCACACTCACTCGCACACACAACAAAGAGTGCTTTTGATTCTTTTGCTTTGAAGTGTTCGTCTCCACAGCGATTTTAATCGAATTTATGATATTCGATGCGCTTGTGGATTTTAGATCATGGACACCGCTCCATAAATATTCGACAATGAATCAGCTCGTGTCGTTTAAGACGTGAATGAAAACAATCAATGCGAGGCAAATAAATTGCATATTCTGACACTTGAAAGAGAGATAGAGAGGAGAGAGAAAAAAGGCACACAGTCAATTTGAATCGGAATGCAGCAGAATAAATTGTTAGCTTCAGGCAATCGATTATCCGATGCTCACATAGGTTAATTTAATGCCTTTTATGTCAAATTGATTGAATGCTTTTCACATGAGATTCATATTGGCGTTACAAAATCAGAATTAGGTCACATTTGAGCAACCGTACATAACGGTAGTTGGTTTGAGTTTTTAGATACTTTTCAAAGCACCAAATCCAATTGAATTCAAGACGATTATACAACGCTGTAATTTTCTATCCACTTTTCGACTGATAACAAATAGGCCAATTTTCTCTTTGCGATATCAAAAGTTGTACGGACCTAATGGACCAATAGCTGTGGGCTTCCTGAAATTCGCAAAGACCAAGATAAATTATATCAGTCTTTTGTAGCCATCAGTCGATACATTTCGTATATGCTATTCATCGCATTATATAATAAAAATGTTCGCTACAATCCGTTCTATGTTCAAAATCCGTCCTAGTCTGTACATGATTTACGAATATATAGTGTGTTTTTTTTTGGTTAAATGCCTGGGAAAAAAGTTCATTGCATAATAATCGTGCAATATTCCATTTTTTGTGCGTCGCATTTTCGTTAGACGAATTACATCCAGTTCGCATAATAAACGTCCACCACGAGTCGCTTGCTGAGTATCGACATTTTCACATCTCTACAATATGCCACATTTCGAATGACTCATTTCACTTGCACACGACGCGATGTAGTTAAATATATTTTCGTTATTATACATATACAAACAAGACCGCCCATTGAGATTTCTCACTATTCATTGTATCCATATCCAACTGTGTTCTGCCTGAAAGAATTCACTTAAAAATTGACTCAATTAACAAAATCTATTGGCTCATGTTGAACACGAAAAATTGAATAATTCCATCGTGTAAGCCTTAACATTTGTGGTAAAATTCAAAATAAACACAAAAAAAAACAATCGGCAAATCGAAATTTAAGTAGCTTTTCATACTGTAATAATCCATATAATGAATCGCACTAGCGAATTAATGAATCAATGGAAATAATTTTAACACTTTCAGTTGACGATTGAAATGTGATTGCTTATTGGATTCAATCTAAAATTATGAATGAACAATAAAAAATAATTCTTTAAAATTCAATAGAAACATCCGTTCAGTTATTTCTTTTCGAAGTATATGCACTAATTTAGCTTAACTGAAGCAAATCAAATTCGCATGCTGTTAACTTTTTACAATGTTCGATGTTTAATTGATGGGATTACAAATAATTATCTAGTTTTTCCATTCGAATTCAAGGCTTGTTAAAAAGCCGTTCCAATGGAATTAAGTGCCAATATGAGTGATTTAAGTGTATATTAAAACATTTTAACAAATCATTTATCCAACTTGATTAATAAAATCAAGAGCATTAATGCATTAAAGATTAAATTGAATCTAATTGCTGTTTCATTTTCGCTACTTAAATAGCTGTTATGTTTTTCATGTTAACACATAATAATATACGTTTGTATTCGCACAGCACGAACATAAAAAACAATGATAAATTATTGGCGGGACCTTACCTATTTGGATAAATAACGTAAAATCTGAATATGGCGCTAAGGATTATAGGAGTTCGATGACCGAATAACATTTTCATCGACCTTCCTTCAGCATCTCTCTTTTGCATTCGAGAATGTATTTTCTTGTTTTTATACAACCGTTGTAAGCTGTATTGATAAGACGTAGATCAAACCCTTAAGAAAATGCCTTTTAAAGCTGGTTGGATGATTTTCAAATTTAATTTCACAAACTTTAAGAAGAAGTTGAACAAGCCGCACTGAAAAAAACTCACTCCATATTAAAATGCTCAACTCAAAATCACTCAATTGAGCTACCACTGGATGTAATATTGTAAAAATGTATTAAAAAACTCCTGCATGTAGGCAATTCGTTATCCAGTGCAGAAATTCAGTCAAACACTTAATCGTATTACTTAAAGTGCCGTTATTCGGCAAAGTTTTAGTTTATTGATCTAACTTTGCCTTCAAATATACACAACTGTTTATAGTTTTTTACAAGACAAGATAAACCGAATAAAAAAGTGAATTAAAAAAACTTTTGCTTTCGACAAAATGAAATTTATGTTGATTTGTTTCCTCGTTTTGTGTAACAAATCGGAGAGCATAAAAACTATCGTTTCAATGAAATTGAATGAAGTTTAATCAAGAGCGAGAAAAAAGTGTATAGCTGTGATTTTGAATCGGTGCATGTACGTGTGAACAAGCGATTAAATGATTAGAAAACCGTTTTGCTTGGCATTTTATCACACCATTAATTTATATTTATACACACACATACACACGGAAAAGCGTTCAAATGCAGTCGATTGTAATATGTTACCAATTTCGCCGAGCAATTTTCGCCTGTACAATTGGCTTTCAGTTCAGCAGCAAATCGAAGGAAAGGTGGCGATAAAATGATACAATGGCGCACACAAAGCAACGTGCAACCATCGAACAATTGTTGTTGAAAGATAAATTTATGTGTGTGACTTTTATGATACTTAATTTTGTTTGTTTACAATTAACAAGCCAATTTATTGAACAAAACTATTCGGTTTGGTGTGGATGGTGTGGAATGCAATTGGATCGAATGAGATGGATTATATATTATGCTTTTAAACAATTGTTTAAATGACTCGTTGATCTCAGAATTGTTTCAATGGTGCATGCCGCATGCGGTTGAACTTAACACGGATTATTATTTTGATTAAATTTATGCATTTTTTGCTGCTGCCATTTTTATGGGTTTGTTAGCATTAGCTAATGCCATTTCGTCGATTTGTCTCCAGCTATTTAATATCAAACATTTAATTATAAGGTGGCGGAAAATGGCGGCGGTTTGCACAATTTAAAGCCGTGAAAAGTGAAAATGCCGCATTTTGAATCAATACCATTCGCATTCGCTATCAATCTGTATGCGGTCGTTTTATTAAACTAATCTGATTAGGCGCACCATAAATGAAATGTAATGATTTATGTTAGTAGCCATTAAAATTTGTGGAATTGTTCGTTGCACATAATATATATTACATAATTAAATCCATTGTTCGACCTTAATCTCGATATTTATGGTCCGGCTGCAAAACAATGGGTGTTTTTGAGAGACGCTTATCGAGTTGCGATGCAAATCTCGAATTCTCTCGAATTAGCAGTGGAAATGATGATAAATAAATCAGGAAACAAGTCATTTTACCGAACCATGAAAAGTGTATGATTTGCAACAATGTACGATTCTTATCACCAATAAAACAGCTGTTCTCGCCACTGCATTCGTGCTGCTTCTTCTTTTTTTCCGTGCGCAAAATCATTAGAACAAAGTGTGTGTAGATAAGATTGATGCAGAGTCAATTAAAGTGTGAAATAAAACTGCACGGTGTACAGGGTCGTTATCGTGATAACAATTTATGCTACATGCTCTTTCCGCTATAAAATTCACAATATAACTGGAAGAAGCAAAAAACAACAACAATAACATCATTATTTTGTGAATTCTAAATCATTTTGCCCGTGATAAAAGTTGAAGTTGAGAACAGAAACATCATTAAAATATATATAACATGATATTGTTGGTTTAACAATGTAAAATCAGGCGCAATTTGCATACTCACAATTCAACTGAATCCGAAAAATAAGCGATTTGTTGATTTTCATTTGCATTTTTTGTTTGTACTCTCATTACAATTATTTTTTTTTATTGTTGTACTTACAGGTTATTTCGCTGTTGATTGCACTAAGTAAGGTCATGGTATTTTAGTTGAAACAAAGTATCATTCTACCGATAAAATTACTGTCATTGGCGAAACTGACATTGTTGCCGTCCAATAACACGTTCGAGAAAATAAGTAAAAAAACGAAACAAATAAAAATAAAATGATTGAAGTGCCATCGTCAGCTGACAATGAATCTAATTCCAATGTGTTGGCCGTTCAAACGTACTCGGGATTGCATTTGGAACCACCTCAAACACTGAACGTGGTAAGTCACATTTATATTAAAATTATTTTGTTAGCATTTGAATTGACGACCATTTCGTTTGGATAATAAACAAAATATCAAAAAAAAAGTTTTAATTATGATTTTGGATCAAATATGCATGCACTGATTTATTTGTTGGTTGCCATTGCCAATAAAATTAACACATGCGGAAAAATGCAGTGAATTTATGTTTGAATTCCCGTTGAACTTTGTAGCCATTAGACACTGACAATCATAAAAAAAACGCTACACATATTTATGCATCGATGTAATTGATAAGCCCAAAACCCACATTCACCGCATAATTGTTGGCTATTTCATTTATTCAAACGAATGGTCGTTGTGAAAAATGCACTTTTTCCAGCTTATAAAAAGAAATAAATAGTATTGTGGTTACTGCTGCCGCTGTTGCTGCTGTCGCTGCTGCTGCCGTCGTCTGTTTTTTCATAATAGCGAGAAGAGAAGGAACATTCATCGACATACTTATTCATTAGTTTATATACATTTATAGTTTATTGTTCGGGAATACAAATCTATCGAATATATCATTTTGTTATTGGTTGCATTTTTTATGTATGTGTGTGTGCGTGTGTGAGTGTGTGCATGTTCTCGAAATACATAAATTTCAAACAATTTGATCTCGCGGACAGGTTATCGCTGTGTGCAAAGTCGAAATGCCAAAATGCCAAAATTACTATTTTGCATAGATCTCAAATCCAATAATGGATACATAGCTAAAAAAATGTGACTATTTTATCGGGTTTTTATGGCCCGTGTATACATATGTTTCAGCATAAATACAACTCGAAATACCAACAAATTCCCTCTTTATATGAATTTATAGTAATTTAATCACGTACGTTAGGTGGGTTTTTAGTGCTATTCTATACTTAAATTACATAGTGCTGTGATCTGCTTTTGAGTGCTGTGATGAAAAATGTGCATGCATTGAAAATGATTCGTGGCCACTTATCTGTGATCTTTATTTTCATTGAATGAATGTGTGCGCATTTAAATTTGGAGAGTGAAACGGAACAGAAATTAGAAAAGAGAGAAAAAATTTGGTCGTTGAAAAAACACATCTCGTCTCGTCGAAAACTATTTCGCTTTTCATTTCAATGCATCGACATGAATGTGTGCATTGCGCGTAATGATCGTTCTATCGTTCATGTCTTTGTCAGACAGTCGCGCAACAGTTAAATGCTTGCGTTCATGCACTTCACACAAGTTTACCTGATTTTTGATTAGCGTGTGCTTTTTTTTCCATACTTGTTGAAATTGTAGCAAGTAAACTATGGAAAATTGCATCGCGCGTTCACTAACTACCATACATTCTTATCTGATGGAAATGAAAAATCGTAAACTCTCAACACATACTCACCTTTAGCAGTAACGTTGTATTATTTTTTTTATAAATGGTAATGTTATATGCGTGCTCGCGCCATATCATATTTTAATCGTAATTTATTATATTGCTGATTTTCTGCTGAATATTTTCTATAAAATGTTGTGAGAAGGTGGAGAAAAAAAGTGGCGCACGTGAAAGCGTCCGATTCTTCTGAAGTGAACAGAACACTTGCACATACATTGATTTCAGTCGAAACTATTGAGTTTCGAGCCATTCCGTTTCTATTGTTTGATTTAACACAAGCATTAAGAAAACCAGAGCCGCACATCCAGATGCAATAGATAAACTAGTCTAATTGCGATTTTCTGCTATTCCACCAGCGACCGTCTCGTAAATGGAAATTCTTCAAACCGACTCGATGGGAAAATGTTTATCGCAAATCCATATTTGGAGTGTGTTAGTTAACCGGCGCATCGAAAAACAACCAACAACTTATAACAACATCGACGACAATTATCGTCGATTAGTTAATTTCATATCGATCTGCTTTTTTTGCAATATTTGTTTTCAGATTTTCCTTTATGTTCAATTGAAAGATTGGATAAATTAATTGCTTTTATTTTCTATGAAAAGAAATGCCGCCTAATGTATCGGTACATTGACCGTGAACCATTTTCTTCGGTTTGTTAATACGAAACGATGTATATGCTACTGAATCACGAGTCGTACATTGACATTTTGTCGCGAATAAGTGAAAAATTTAAAGAAATATGAATGGAGTAGAATAAAAACTACTTCTCGAAAAATGTTTAAACACGAAACCTAAAAAAAACTTTCAATGAAAAGTGAATCAATTTTTTTTCGTCCAATTGAAGTGAACCAAAAAAAATTTGTTCAATAAAAGTGAACCCAAAAAAAAAATTCATTTTAGTGTATTTTACACTGAAAAAACCGAATGAAATTTGTTTTTTGGTTCACTTTTATTGAACAAAATTTTCTTGATTCACTTCAATTGGACAAAAAAAAATTGATTCACTTTTTATTGAAATTTTTTTTAGGTTTCGTTTTAAAATAGCAATTTTTCGAAAAGTAGTTTTTATTCTACCCCATTCATATGTTCCCATTGTTTCGTGGTGGGTGTGTTTTCCAGCACTTGTTCAACGTTGGTGATAATTGTTTGCTTTTAACGATTTCGAAATTGTTGAATTGCAAATGCAATAAACAAAATGAATAAAGCGGCACATTTTTCGGGCCAAATTTTTCTTTCAAAATCGTATTTTGACATAAACGAATCGTGCACGACATTTAGTTGTGAAATTATATCTGTCAATATAAGTTGTGAGCAAAAAGAAATTCCCAAATTTGGTTTCAGCGCATAAAATGTATATAGGAGTGCAATATCGAGTGCAAAATGCGGCGCAATTCAAAAAGCCACAAAAAGAGCAGAAAATATGTGTGTGCACGAACTAAATTGATGTAATAGTTCCATTGGATTGTGTTTGGATTTGAAAGAGATACAACACAAAAGTAAACAATAAAAGTGAGAATTCGTTGAGATTATTGTGTTACAAAAATTACTCCGTTGTCTCTTTATGCAGTTAACTACCGCCTGAATAGATAAAAAAGAGTACAAAAATTTGTGTCAATCTATTGATTTTGGATAGAGTAAAATACTCAATTAAAACCACACCCTAGCATTATGATAACCACCATGCAACAAAGAAAAACAACAAAAAGAAACGATAATGGATTCTTTCATGCTTTCGTTTTAACGAAAGGCACGAACGTTTCTTGGGAATTCATTTGGCGAACGATACAACCAGTAAAGTGCAACTAAACTATCGAATATTACTGGTTATGCTTAAGGTCTGCTTCGGCGTGCTCCGTTGTTATATTTGGCGTTTGAGTGCTATTATGACGTAAAGTAACATGACAAAAAAATAAAACCATAAAACTAATAATAAGTAAAATGAGTTGAATTTGTGTAGAGAGTGAAACTGTCGTGTGTCGACTTACTTACTGTCTGTCTGCTTCTGGAGTCATGAGCATATATTGTCGTTTCAACAACAGTCGGTGAATTCCCACAGCTCAAATAGGCGATAAACATGACATACAATTGGCAAATCCAATCAAACACAAAGTATATAAATAGACCGCAAAAACCGTCGTGAATGTACATTTCAATCTGCAGACAATGAGCAAAATTATTCGATGTCCCGTCGCTACACGATCTGTGCGTGCGTGTGAATCGATAATTCGGTTAAACTTCACTGTATACACCACAATTAGCCAGAGTAAATTCAATTTATTCACGCAAACTGCAACAAATGTCAAAGTGAAATATTTTTTTTTTTGCAAATCGCCTGACGAACAAAAATGTCTGTGCAAACTGATTGATCGTTGCTCAAAATCGATTTGTTAGCATAAGTTGTGGCACGTTTTTTTTGTGCTCGTAAATTTTTGTTTTCACATTGTGAGAGCACATAGATTCAGTTGTAATGTTTGTTGATGAATCTCGGAATCGTTGTCATGATGTATTCGCAAATGGAAGCAAGCAACGGGCACATTTCACAAAGGTGGATGGGCCCAGAATTGTTTTATCTGATCGAAGTGAATGATATTTTTATTTATTCACATTTAATTGAAATAACACATGTAATCGATCGATATCGTTTTGCTCAACGATGCATTCAATTGAGTTACTTCTTTTTCGCGTCGAGTCGATTGTTCAGAAATGGGCTGTTGGAACGTAATTCAAGCAAGACTAAGGCATTAGGACCAGCAACACATATTTATTAAAAAATCATTACAAAAGACACTGTTGTTGCGGTTGCTGCTATTGTTGCATACGGTAATTGGTGATGGATGACACGATAGCCCATCGCCGTATGCAAATTCCGATGGTGCAATCGGTTTGTCCGTAAACACATTTCTATTTGAATCTTCTATGAATTGATTGCATGCTGGAAATCCTCAAAGGTGCAGCACCATCAAGCCAAACAAAAGAGAGTAAAAAAACGGTTATCAAATATGCATGTCTTTGTCCTCGTTGTGAAGGCTTTTGCATGAATGTTGCTCTTCTAAGCGGCAGCATTATCCAAACGAGATGCCCATTTGGATTACGACATTTTGCATGCACGTTTTGCAAACGATATTCACACAAATTCCATCGAAAGCAAATTAACTCGATCACGACGCATTAAGAGCTGAAACATTGTACAGTTGGCGTGATGAATGTTACGAGTCATAAAGCACCCAAGACAACTGCCACTAAGCTCCAGTACAATGGAGCATCACAAAATGTGTACTTTATTTTAACGTGAGCAGAACATCTGTTTCCACTTACTTCGTAAGATGGTATGGAATGGGCAACCAGAGCCTCTTTTGCAGAAGTGAATCGTCAGTGCATGTTAACTGGTGTGGTGAAGAGGAAACACCAGCTAAAACAAACAATCGTCGCATTCATACTCGCATACACTTACTTTGGACCGAATGGTCAAAGAAAGCGAAAGTAATTTCAATGTCTGAGCCCATGAAATGGTGAAACATTTTCCAAGGCTTGTAATGAGCAAACAAAAATGTGTAATCAGCTACACAGCCTTCTGTGGATTTTAATTGTTGAACTTCCGTCAGAACGATTGCACGATAAGCT